ACTCCATCAGACCCTTTGTCAGTACAATCTGGCTGGGTAGACGGGTCGATTTTCTTCCGTCGGGCCTGGGAGGTTTCCCATGGTCTTCCCATCTGAGCCACACACGGAGACCCAAGACCTGAGGACTGCAGGGCGGAACGCACCGCTCGCGAGTGGGCAAGAGTCGAGCCCGCGGCAGCTTGGACGGAGCAGACGTTCTGATATTCGTCTCCAGAAACCTGATTTCTGCAGATCTCAAGATGACCTGAACATGTATCAGCTCTAGGTAAGACTATGTTCTATTTGGCCAAAAGCATGGGAAGCCATGCCTTTTTTAGACCGAGAGAGACCAGTGGCCGCCTCCACGTCATCCCGAGGCCTCGAGTTCTTGTGAACGGACAGGCGCCACAACCCAAAGAAGGTTGGACCAGTGGAAGGTTGGACAAGTGCTGAAATGCTTCGTGAAAAGCATCCACATGAAGTGTTTCGTTCTTTTTCTGAGTTGCGTGTGGATCGGTGGTGTGCGAACATGATCGAACATGGCTTCTTTCTTACAGAACCGGCTTCTTGGATTTGTGCCAATTCGGTGGGATTGAACATGTTTGACACGTAGGGAGGACGAAATGGGACTTCAGTCGGGCGGGCGGCGACTGGATGGCATCAAACATGAGATGTCCAGAGTCATGTACACCGAGGTATAGGCCCTAAAACCTTTCTTTCGTCCCAGAGTCATGCGCTCCAGGTGCTCCAGGATGCAGTTCCAAGTGGGTAGACCATGGTGCATAGAATTGGATGCAAAGGGCGAAACATGGCGGAGCATGGCGAAGCTGTGATCTTTTTTGATATGGATGTGAGTCAAATCCTTCAATCCCCAAACCATGATAGATTGACATACATGCCATCACCCAGACCAGAATATAAAAGATCCTCAAAAGCCGTGCACCGGACCTGATCCCGCTGCCATCAGCACTCAGCGCAAAAGCGCTTGCGCTTTGCGCTTTGCGCTTGCAGCGCTGTGCAGCACTCCTGCTTGCTTCAGGTCGCTCGGAAGGTCGGGATGACCAGTTGCTGACCAGTTGCTGACAACCAAAGGTTTCTCTTTGAATGGCCTGAACACTTGAACGATTCCGTGCGGTTTCGTGTTCTCAGGTCGTGATGGGGAAGCCTGGACTCAAGGCGTGCGACGAAGGGGTGTGGAACACAAGAGAAGACCAACAAGCTGTTTTGATGCCAACTCGACTGGTTGACTGGTAATTACAGGGGTGACATGGCTGAGCAAAGATGTGGCAGGCACAAACCGCGCTTCATCGCACACCGACGCCCAGCCGCAGCTTGTTTTCATTGCTGGATCAGAGCAGAAGTGCTGCAGGCGGGTTAGGTGGAGAAGATTACCCTCCAACAATCATGGACATGGAACATGGCCCCTTGGAAAATGGTTTCCTCTACTAACAGACCGCTTTCCACTTCCATGATTGTTGGAGGGAGTGTATATCAAGATCTAAGATTTACATGTAGAGCTGCTGGAATTGTGAAAGGTGTCGATGAGCCAACCAGCAGCAGGTCGATTCCAACCGAGGCAGGCTGGAAGGGCTCAATCGGTTTGCTGAGAGGGGAAAGTGTATTATCTTCCGTGCCAAAGACATGCACCAGCACCATCACTATCATCACCGGCACCACCACCACAACCACCACCACGACAGCCAGCAGCACCAGGTCATCTCGCGTTGTTAAAGCTAAAGAGTTCTTTTTTCTGTCGCGGTACGTCGCGAAGCCCCGATTCTTGAGGCGACAGAGGTCTCGCCCACAGAGGTGGAGGCGCAGGCGGCGCAGGACCGACTGTGAACGGAGCAAAGCATCCAAAGCGAGGGAGACGACTGTGACAGCTGTGACAGCAGGAGCCGACTGGTGACGAAGCACCACTGGTAGAGAGGTTGGTCGGGACTTGAGGACGGGTTGCGAGGACTGGAAGATGTGTCGAAAAGAATGCCTCAGTATGCTATAGTGGTCCCCAAATAGATAGAAACAGTTTCCCAATGTTTCCAATACATTTTGAGTGGGGATCTACTTTTCTATCCATTTGGGGATTAATATAGTTTAGAATGTTTAGATATCCTTGGGATCAAGAGCTTCGGTCATGGACGCGGCTAGAGCTCTGGTCCATGACTGCAGCCTGCGAGCTCTGATGAGAACGCCAGGCCCTAGAAGTCCAAAGACTATATTTTGACCTAAGTTTTTTTTTCTTTTTCGGGTTATATATTTAAAGACAATTTTTTAAGAGTCGACTGGACTCCCAGGGAAAGGGTCTGTTTTGTCAGCTTGGACATGCGCCACCTCTGAGGCCTGCCATCCCTCCCAGAAAACGAGGAAGACCAAGGAAGCAGAAGGACCTTCCAGCGTCTGGAGACTTGCAGCCCCTTTGAGAAGAGAAAAACACTAAGACATTCTACTGAGTGTTGCCTTCAGTTGGTGCAAGTTGACCAACATGGTCTGCATCATTCTGCATACCAATGTGATCCAATGTGAACCGTAGTAGCAAGGTCGCTACTATCGCTACTAGGGTGGAGGCCATTAGTAACAAGAAGCTACTAGTAGCTATTTGCCATTTTTTCTTTGGTCACTCTATTTTCCACTTCCACTTGTTTTCAAGTATGCCACGGTGAAGCGATCTGCGACAGTAAAGTCAGGAGCTGAAGCCAAGCGAAGCAAAGAAGATCGTGCAAGCGCTGGCAGAAGCGACCCCAGGCGTGTTGGAAGACAGTCAAAACATGGGGACTTGAAGACCTGGTGGAAATGCCTTGATGGCTTAAGGTAAGATTTATCGACGTGTGCAGCCGAACTAATGATACTACATGATACTAATGGTATATTAATATGGTACCTGGCACCCGAACTAGTAACAAGGGCATCGCTACTAGTAGCTTCTAGCTACTAGTAGCGATGCCCTTGTTACTAGTGGCTTCAACTATTCCTCTTCAGTCGGAGATCATTCGGTGGAAGTGCCTCTCCCTGTTGCCCTTTCGAACACCCTGGAACCGAATTACTTTCTTCCAGGCTCGAAGGTGCGGAAGGTGCATCACATGGTAGCCGTGCGGCTCTCAAAAAGGGTGAAGGTGCTGGGGTCTGGGACAAGAACATCATCATCCATTTTACAGGGCCCAAAGAAACAGAAAGGACCTCCCAGGGACAAGAACATCATCATTATCCTTTCTCTGATGGTTTTACAGAAAGGCCTGCAAAGAAAAGCCATCATCATCCACCGTTACACCCAAATAGGATATACCCAATGCCCTAAAAGTCCAGTTCGACTATAGTTTGACCGACTGAAGTCTGACCATTCCTTCATAGTCGACTGGACTCGCAGGATATATATATATATATATTATATTGTAATTTATACAATACCCTAAGGGTGTTGAGGGTACAACCCCCTGTTATAGAGGGTTCGACCCCTGCGAAGGTGTCGGCTCCAAGGATCATTAGGGTATATATATATATATATTAAACAATCAACAACTAAAAATAAAAATGGATATACCAGGGGTCACAAGTATGGGGTGCCGAACTTAGGAGGAAGGATAGGGGTGCCCAGCTACTCAACTCACCGGATGGGACGAGCCAAACCACCCCGTTACTTGTGACCCCTGGTACGCCCAAGCCTGACAGTCTGGCCTTCGGACATGCGCTGAGGCGCCAGAGGACACGCGGGTGATCGCAGAGGAGCTGCGGACGGCGGTGATCGCTGCTGAGGAGTTTCGACCGGGGACTGAAGGTGAAGGCCTCAGCGGTCAACAAGCGTGGCCAATGGGAGGCTTTTTGCCCTGGGTGGCAAACAGAAGATCGACATTCTCCGAAGTCCTCGCGGTTTGGTGTTTTCTTATTAGGTGTGCTTTGCTTGCTTGCGGTTTGGCGTGCTTTGGGTGTGCAACAGTTTGATTCTCTGGGTGTGCTTTGCTTGCAACAGCCGGCCCCCCTCAACAAGTCAGCGCTCGACGTTTCAAAGTCGTTCAGGTCGCTCCGGCCATCCTCGCCGATCACGCTTTCCGGTTCCGATCTGAGTGATTGGGGCGAGAGTATGAGATCGAAAGTTGGCACCATCCAGAAGTAGAGAGCGAGAGGCTCTTGCATGGCAGGTCTTGTTACTAAAGTGATGGCCTCCAACCTACTAGGGATGGCCTCCAACCTAATAGCGATGGCCTCCAATGTATACATCTAAACCTAATAGCGATAGCCTCCAACCAAAATGTACCTCTCAACCCCAACACGTCACACCTCGGACTCGTTCAGCTCCGGGAGGCTCCGCAAGGATGACCGCCGCCGGGAACCGGCGATGACTCGCCGAGGTCCTCGAGGCCTGGCGCAATGAGCGTGTCATCTACGAGCGACGACCCGGCTCGGCGATGCCACAGATCACTGCGCCGCTGGGACAACGAACGCGACGAGTCATGTGCTTTTCGGCAACGAGTGCTGGGACCTATGGAAGACCCTATGAGGGGGTGCCCAACTCTGCAACCTTTCAACATGGCTGGTTTCATGGAAGAGGCAATGATGCGTGGTGAGTTGGAAGATGATATGCACACGGGCCAGTTTTGGGGCATTGATTCATAGCCGGTAGATGCCAAGACCGGTTGAGTCCGCAGGAGTAAGACGTCGGGAGGTCCGCACGTCTTGTTTTTCTGGTTCCAGAAGACATCTAGTACTCAGTACTCATGACCGTGCATTCAGAGTCCTCAGATTGTTGCAGAGTGTGAGGATGACTTTAAGCCGTACTTGCTGCATTTTGCCGCTTGCCGTTTCCCTGAGATGCGAATTCGTCAAAGAGGAGATCCTCGAGGGTGGCAAGGCCGATTGTGAACTGCTTGTGATGAGACGCTGTGCTTGAAATCTGGCCAAATTGTCAACTCACTTACAAGATTTACACGCTTGGCACCACACAAAATCGAACATCTCCAAGCCAATGTAGAACAGATACTGCAAGAAAGAGATTGACCAACAAGAAGGGCAGGCTCCAACCCCTCAGGACTCCTATTTGCAACTCGACTTTTTTGCAAAAGGTAGCGGTAGAAGGTGAAACATTTCTATCCTTTTCTCTTCAGCTCATAATTGATGCTGGCTTGGCAAGCTCTTCCCTCTAGCCATGGATTGCGCAATCCGATCTTGACGCAAAGCGCAGTGACACCCACGCCCACACCAAGCAGCGCACGAAGAACGTGGGCAGAGCTGCACTGGGCATCTCCCCTTGGCCTCCTCGTTTTTTGGTCTCGCCGGGCGCGACCCTCTTCGTGGAGAGTTCGCCGGCGCGCGAGGACATCGAAGACCTCCGTGGAGACTGCCGACTTGGAGGAATGCTTGGCGAAGGAGCCATGGAGAAGAGGCTTTGAAGCAGCAGAGGAGCTGGAACCGGTGGAACTTGAAATCACGGACGTCAGGTGGTCCTCGATGTTAGATCTGAAAGGGACCATCTATCGAAATGCATCCGGTCGGCTGCGTGTTGGATGCTCGGAGTATTTACACTGGTTTGATGGAGATGGATTTGTTTTTGCCCTTTCCATTGATGGCACGAAAAGAAAGGCAGCCTTTGCTTCGCGCTTTGTGCGCACTTCGCGTTTCTTGGCCCAAGAAGAGCCAAGCGCCTTGGCCAGAGCCAAGGAAGGTTTGGGCATGGCCTCAGCATGTCCTTGGACACCTGCAGCCAATGGGGACTTTTTCTCCAATGTCTTCAGGATACCAACCAACCCGGCAAACACCAGCGTGCTATGGTGGGGCGATCGTTTGTTGGCCTTGTGTGAAGGAGGCTTGCCGTATCGCTTGAACCCAGGCACCTTAGAAACTCTGGGTGAAGCACTTTTCACCTCTCCCGAACTGTCAGAAAGTGGTGTCTTTTTCTTCTCGGCTCATCCGAAACGGGACGCGAGCTCCGGCGAGCTCTTCAACATTGGTATCACGCTTGGGATGCCGCTTAGCCTGGAAGTCTATTGCTGCTCCGCGGCAGGGGAGCTCCGGCAACGGAGCAAAGTTCCATTGAAAGAACTCACTTTCGTCCACGACTTTGCGATCACAGAGAAGTATATTGTGCTGATCCTGCCTCCTTGGGTTTGCCCCGTGGAGGGTGTGCTCCAAAGCCTTTGGGAAGGAGGCCTGGGAAGCAAGTTCCAATGGCAAGAAGATTTGGGTACCAGGTGTGTGCTCTTGCGACGCAGTGACCTCAGCACGGTGTCTTGGTCACTTGGTGGACCCTGGGGGACCCTGGTGGACTCCTCAAAATATCTGAACATGAACAAATTCCTCTATAGTTTCTAGGAAAAGGCTTTGACTCACAGCCATTTTGCGCCATTTTGCCCTGTTCGATTCTGTTGGTTCTCTCTTTCAACGACCACGGACATCCACGCACCGTGTTTTTCGTGAGACAGCGCCTTTTTTGGTGGAACAAACCTTCCAAGGTCTTCGATGAAACTCTCAAGCCTCCAGTCTCCCTCTACCACACTGCCGGTGTCTCAGATATTTCAGTTGACAGCGTTCTGAGTTGGATTTCTCCTCACCCAGATTTGTGTGTATATTAAATATAGGGAGGCATCCCAGGCGTTCCACCCCCCTTGGAAGGTTTGGGACATCGACTGGATCAGGACAAACCCTTTCATTGGTGGACATCTCCCGCAGCTCGTCCAGGACGTACGCAACCCATGTTTGTCATCTCAACTTGCCTTTGTTCTCCTGACTCTCAGTGCTTCGCCCTGCCTCGCCCACCCCACCCGGACCGGACCGGACGTGGCGGGCCAAGGTGAATGCCTTTGACCAGGGTGAGGCAGTGGTGCTCCAAGTGGCCGCGCACAATGGATCCCGGGAGGAGGTGGAGAGGAACTTCCAGGCAGACCACGAAGAAACCGAAGTCTTCGTGGGGTTTCGAAACCGTCGGACTCCTGACTCAAATGAAGTGGTCCCGTTGGACGGGTGTCAATCTTCAAAGATCTTCACTGAGACAACTAGCAGTTTGCAGCCATTCGCAACTTTAGTAATTGGAAAGAAATTCCCAACCAACCTGCAAAGTTCATCGAAGTGTTGATCCGAAAGTTCGCATGACCTTGCGGGGGGCACTTTGCATGTGATTCTTCCCAACGGCCGAAAAGAGTGGTCAGGATATGTACCGAAGCACTTGGACAGATGAGACCCGATGTTGCTTGAAAGAACTGGTGCTCGACATCTCAGCTGGGCAGATCTCTGTGAGCCGTGGGCTCAGTGGCGATGCGTGTTGCGATGCGTGGCCAGCGGGGCGCTTGCCTAGCGTATCCTGAAGTCATGATGGGTAATAGCGAAAACTTCAAAGAGAGAGCCTGTCTGGTGGGGCCTGGCGGGGGGTCTTGCAGATATTCAGCCCCACGAACAAGCTGCACTTGGAATGGATAAGATCACGATCTATTCATGGGCCGCTCTGGGTATATGAGGGATTTGCCGATGACATCTTTCGAAGAGTGTCTCAGTCATCTCAGTCATCGCTCCGGCCGCCGTGGGTTTGACTACCCTGGCCCCTCAGAGCGGTGCCATGGCCACCTGTTTGGTGGGGAAGAACCAGCGTCCTCCGGTGCCATGGCCCACAACCATAGCCCTGCTGTCTGCTGTCCGGATCACAAGGGGGCCGGTCGTGACACCTGTTTTCGACCAGGCTCAGTGGGACCAGCAGAGGCGGCTTCCTTTGAGCTTCCGACGATTCACCCGGCCTTCGTTGGCAGTAGCTTGGTATCAAATCAGTTCATGATTTCCCCGAGCCTTCCAAGACCATGAAAAGAAAGGTTGAGCTAGTTTTGTCATTGTAGTCAAAAGGTGTCAAAAGCTTCTTAAGTAATCATAAAGCAATATTCAAGAATGGTTAAAGACTATGAAATCAATGGTGCTTGTGATCCTCGTCCATTTGGACCTTTTTTGGTGTTACGTGTTCTCGTCCAGGGATCGAAGAACAGATCCTGCCAGGAAAGCATCGCCATGTCTTCACGAACAGTGCCTTTCCATCCACCGCAGCCCCTTGGGTCCAGTTTAGAGAGAGGGGGGTGTAGTAGATATTATTAGAGTAGCGAGACCTCCCAGGCCACGACCCCCAGGAAGCAGGATGAAGCAGGAACATAGACCCCAACCCATTGCCGATTTTTTGGGTAACACTAGGGGTTCTTAGGGTAAGGGTTAGGGCTAGGTGCCTGATCCGAGGGGTGCGCATCCATGACCGGCTAATCCGCTGCTATTTACAGTGCATTCATTCACCCTGAGATCTTCGAAGTGCATTTCGACTACGCAGGCTTGTTGTATCTGGTGGGCCCGAGCGGGTCCGCTTCCCGACGGCGCTCTCGCTGTAGTGCCGGCGATCACTTATCGTGGCAGGCGCAAGGGAAACCTCGTGTTTTGGTGGTCCACCCCACCCCCCACCATCACCATCACCACCACCATCACCACCATCGCCGCCGCCACCATCACCATCACCATCACCACCATCGCTGCCGCCACCGTCACCACCATCGCCACCCCGCCATCATCATCACCGCCAGCATCATCACCAACATCATCACCACCACCATCATCACCACTTTCACCACCATCATCATCGCCGCCGCCACCACCACCGCCGCCATCACCATCATCACGCCATCGCCATCATCACCACCACCTTCACATCATCACCACCATCACCACCATCGCCACCATCGCCAGCACCATCACCATTATCACCCATCATCATCACTACCGCCATCCGCGCCATCTTGCCGCCAGCACCCCTCTCTGGAACCCAAAACGTTAGATTTCTAGACCTGTTTCTACACCCCTCGACCTTAGACCTTTCGACACGCTGTTGGGGGTCTCTTGCCGGGAATACTTTTCCCTTTTTCAATACACACCCAGACCTTGGACGCTTGGCACGTCGCCGAGCGGAAAAGATAGGGCGGTGGATTAGATCTGACCGCAGCCAACAGCCAGAAACAGCTGGTTGTTCTAATATGGTTTTCTTGAGACCCTTTACATAGGAAGTGGCTGGGGCTGGGGATGCGACTGTTTCTGCTTGCGGAAAACCACCACGCTCATCCACGCCATGGCTTTGAGAATCCAAAAGTCAATTAATTCCTGGATTGTTTCCTCCGGTTGCTGATGGTGATGGGCTGGCAATATTAGCCAATACATGAAATCTATCCACCCAAGCCTGGGTATTTTGGATTCAACCCCAAAGTTCCCGCTGGACACCCGCACCGTCGCACCGGATCAAAAAAAACACAGCAGGATCCAGATGCTGAATTTCTCAAACATGCGCCCTGGGAGTCCAGTCGACCACCAAACACATGGTCTGACTAGGTGATCCGAGTCTAGGAACTTCCTTTACTTCGGTGGTGCAAAAAATCGTGGGTTCCTGGACTTCTGATCAGTATGTACTTGACAGATCTTCCTTCATCTGGGCGGGGGGGGGAAGGCAACCGAACAACCCCTTACTTCGGCGTTGCATCGGTCGTTCTGCGCGGTGCAAACCGCGTCTCCAGGGCTTTGCCAATAGCATCGAACGCCTCGACCTGGAGAAGAACCTGTTGGATCGCGCGCGGTTTGATGCCGGGCAATTTGCTGGGGAACCGTGTCTCGACGGAGGTTCTTTGGGATCAAAAATGAAAAACACACACGGACGGCGGAGGCAGTTGGTTTTGGAATGTTCCTACTATTATATCTAATTACTCATCATGCCCTTTAGCATCCTTTATCCGCAGAACAGGTTGTTGATCTTTTAATCTTCAGCTAAGGATGATTCTTCCAAAGACAGGGCCGCAGGAGGAACTCAATGCGAAACTCGGCGCCGATACTTTAAAATCTCTAAAACACAGTGGCATTTCTGCATGAGTTGGTTGCTTGTTTTCTGGTCGTTGTGAAGTCCTGTACCTGTTTTTCTTGCTGATTTGCCCTGGTCTTTTTGAAGGTATGTTTGCACCTGCGTCTACGATGCGAACGTGCACAAATCGTGAAGAGCTGAGCCAGCATGTGAAGCAGATAGTATGAGATGCTGAGTTGATTTCCTTGGACTGCAAAAAGGAGTAGGAGTATTCTATGTAGACTCTTGATGAATACCCCCACAGAGGCAGAAGAGGTTTTTCAATCCGAAACGGGGAGGTTATCCAGAGTCTACATGAGTCTAGACTTATTTTTATGTTTCCCTTCCGGCCCATCTGTGTCTGGTATGCTTCACACCACAAAACCCTTGCCGAGCGAAACGCGGACTGTGGAGCGACACGCAAACCTTTCTTTGGGAGGTCAAATCGCTCGAACGGCAAACAAAGTTGGTTGGGAGATCTCGTGTGCGTTCGCACGCGGACAATCTCGTGTGCGCACGCGTTTCAAAAGGTCTTTAGCGCGGTCTGCGCGAGCGCGTAGCCACCAATAATTGTGCGAAAGTTCGCGTAGGCACTCTTTGCAAAAAGGTTATCTCTGCGTAGGCTGTCATGTACGCGCCCCCAAAACTGTATGCCGCAGAAGCAACCAAAAAGAACACAGCTCAGATAGCTTTTCCAACTTCTCTGTCCTTCTCCGACTCCTCAGGTTTTTTGCCTTCTTCGATGCTGGCAATCTGGCCGCCGGTCCTGTGGCCAAGGCGGGCGGACAAAAACAGCTATCGTGCAGCGAGCCAATGGAGCCGGTCGACCATGTCGCCAGGGTCAATCAAGGTGTCTTGCTTTGACCCACAACCAACCAGTGTGATGGGTCATCTATAGAGTGAAAGACAATCAACAAGGGCTCACTCAGAGAATTCCACAGGATGTTGTCCTACTAGTGCATGCAAGATGTACCCCTTTAAGGGATTTTAAAGGCACATTAAATATTCCACGCACAGATTCTCCGGGTTGCTTTCTGTGCGAGTTCGCCGTCGAACACTTTGTTACATGCCAACCGTGCTTCAGGGTCTAATGTTTAGTTGTTTTCCACGACGTGCCTCGAGCCGTTTCATTTGGGTTGGACACCGCAGGTTCATCTTCCTACCCACGTGCCGTATTCCTTTCATGGAGATTGGGTACCAGGCACTGCACTTGCCATTGCATGTGATGAATTTTCATGAACTTCAGTGTGAATCCTGCAGGATTCGTGCCTGTGATGGACGATGCGCGACTCACGGTGACCTGATTCCGGCGCCCCGGTGACCCCGGTGACGCGCACGGTCGAGAAAAAGGAGCTCGGCACTCGGCACACGCTGCGTGGCGCGCCGTCCGCGCGCACGACATCCAGCGGGCACGCGTCCGGCCACGGTCGCCCGTGGTCAGGATGGGCGCGGTGCCAAAGACGGACGCCGGAAACGGCCGAGGAGACCTGTGGCACCTGAGACTTCACCGCAGAGTTGACACTGTCGCCATGTCGCGACTGGTATGCACTGACGACGACATTTCAACAAACGAGAATGGCCTTTCACAGATCTCTTTCAGAGCAACGCTTTCAATCAACACCTATATAGCTTTACTTTGCACTTCACCAGCTGGTGCTCATGTCCGCGTGGAAGGGGCACTTCTATCGGTTTACATTTCTGGGGCTGTCTTGTGGACCGAATGCACTTGAAGTCCTGTGTCGTTGGAAGGTGAGGAGGTTTCCAGCATCTTGCTGCGGTACCTGTGTCTGCGAGGGGTTCGATTGACATGCTGTGTCGAAGGGGGCAGACAGATTTGGGGATTGGGGAGACTCCTAGCCCGCTGCGTGAAAAAGTGGAAGATAATGTATCTCTCGGCCGATTGAACATGTTCGAGTTACTTCGCATCGATTCTTTGTGCCGCCGCTTCTTCAGAACTTGTGACCGAACATACCGAACAAACTGAAGTCCCATCCCACCGAAATTCCAGGTCCAAGGGACCTGAAAATACCTGAAACATCAGGTTTTTGATGGGTTTTTCCTCCAGTCGAGGGTCGTTTTGGGATGAAACCAGAACGCCGGATTTCGTGCTTCCAGGAAAGAAACTGGGCCAGATGGTCAAACAGAGAGGCGATCGCTTCACGATTGGATGTTGTCGCTTCCATCCTGTTCCATGCAAGGTCTTGTATATCCAGGTCAGTCCACTACGAACCCTTCTGAGTTCATGACCTTCCTTACAAGAGCAACGTGCTCTGTGGTCTCTCGCGTGAAGTCATTCTAAAGTCATTCTTTATTTTTGCGTCTTGGACCCGATGTGCGCGGGTGTGATCTTTGGACGACGCCAAAAACGACGCCGCGTTTTTTGACGCTGAATCCGACGCCGCAGGGCCTGTCCTGCCTGTCCTCGATGTGGATTTGGCACCCACGTGTTGCAAGCGGAAGAGATGCACGAGAGGCGGGGAGAATTCGCTTCCTTTCGTGACGAAAAGGCCCTGTAGCCTCGCCCTCCCTAGGTGGGGTTGAGGACAAGAACACCTGCAGGAAGAACTCACACATTCACACACTTTCCTCGTGGCACTTACGTAGAATGCTGGGCATCATGGCAGGTACACTGATGCCCCCAAACCTGAGCTGCCAAATGAGCACTTCAAGACGCTGGTCTTTGAGCATGCAAGCTCGGTCTCTTTCCCTGTCCTGGTCACGTCATCCATCCGGGTCGACCCTGTCGTCCGCCCGTCCGGGTCGACCGGCGCGCCACGGGTCACTGCGCCAGTTTACCACATCATTCGATGAGACCCACGGCGTCACTGCTGCGCTCCCAGGCCCTGACCGGAGTCGAGTCGAGCCGACATCGGTGGACGGACCGGGGGGCGAACGAAGTCCGGCGAACGACGGGAGGAGTCGGGAGGTGGAGGCTGAAGCTCCAAAGGTTGGATCGGATGAAAACAGATGAAAGCAGCTATAGTTCCTGGTTCCCGGATTGGTGTTCTCATCCCGACCCCATCAGATCCCCCAGCCCGGTCCGGATTCGGGGCACGGACCGCAGCGACAGGCGTCTCCCAGGAAGGTCCGGAAGGCGGCGAGCTTCGTGTGTGGCGGGGAACGAAGAGATTTCGACGAAAGAAGCCAGAAAGCATGGGACATATATACAGTATATCAAGAAACGCGGCTAGGATGAGCCAAGCGTTTTTTTTCTTCCAATCTTTTCGCTATCTACTGCCACTTTCTAGACTGATCGCCACACATCACGAGCGTCGAGCCTTGAAGTGATGGCTGGCCCAACGGCCACTCGTTGGACCCAAAGCAATCCATATACCCCAGGATCCCAACAAACCATTAATGGTCTTCACCAAAGGAGCCAGTGTTTTATATTGTTTTATTTGATTTTGCACTACAAAACCATCCATTTTTCCAATGAATTTTCAATTATGTCTTTGAAGGCTTAGGGACATTTGGGCTTCGAGCTTCGAGCTCAGAGGTCTTGGTCCGAAGTTCGCGGAGCCGAAGTGCCCAGACATCGGACGCCCGGGCTTCCCGACCGGACATGGGAGCCCGGTTTCGTGTCAAAAACCTCATCCGTCTCCGGTCCGTCCCCAACAGCTGGCTGCGAGATGCCCCCTTCCAAGTCCGACCGCTTGTTACGGCGTCCGAGCGTCGGACGAAGATGCGCGCATTGTCAGTCCCGACATCCCGAGCTGAGCGAACGCCGTGGAGCGTTTGCAACGCCGTTCGACCGAGTAGTCAATCATAGATAATCATAGTCAATCCATCCACTACTTGCTCTCGGCTCTCGGGATCGTTCATGTTCGTCGGACTCTCAGGGTCTCCAGGTGAGCTTCGCTCCGGAGTGGCTCAGCTGGAAACGTCCGTGGTGAGACGTGTTCGTCGAGGGCCGTCCGTGCCTTTCGACGGCCCGCGATGTCGGATGCGCGGATGCGCGGAACGGTGCGCGGATGCGCGGAACGGAGGTCGCTATGTGAGGATTTGGGTTTTGGACAAATCACCAGAAACCACGCCGCTCAAAAGCAACGAGAAAGTCAATTATTTTTGTGAGAAAGGGGCCAACCAGGGTGGGGAATGGATTCGAGAATGCATCACACTGTCACACCTGATTGTGACTCTCACAAGCCTAATAGTGACCCTCAAACCAGGGGATCAAAAGGTCACTGGGAGGGTCCTGGGACTGTTTCCTGTTCTTCATTCATCTTCAATTCCCAGTCTCCCCACTCGGCCATTGACCCATTCATGGGTCGTCTGTCCATGACCGACCGCGCCAGCTTGGCTTATGCGGCCGACCGCGTTGCCGACCGCGGGCTGCTCCGATGCCTCGAGGTCGAGACAAGAGATCGACAGCTTTCGGCATTTGAAAGAGCTTTGGATCGACGACGTGGGGCACTGAGACCCGATGGAGTCACATGAACAGAAGGGTCTGGATCCAAAGGAGTCACATGGAGTTGGGTGGTGTGAAGGACCTGAAAGAGAACTTCCTCTACTTCCCTGGGGCAACACAGAGTTTTGTTCGACGATGAGCGACAACCTCGTGCCCGGCTCCGTCTTTCTTCCCAGCGAAGCCGGACACCCGATGTGGGCAGGAGACGTTGAACAAGAATCTTAACGAAGCTGATTGCGCCAAGTGCCACACGTGCGTCTTCGCGAGCATTTTGGCTGTGGAAAAGGATGTCCGGACTATGGAAGCGATGTGGGTGTGCCCCAACCAATGGCTTTTGTGCTATTTCCCTTCTTCCAGACAGCTCCCTATTTTAATACAGACTCATGTCATGTGGAGATTTGGGGAGATGGAGATGCTGACTTGTGAGGGAGCTTTAGTCTCCGTTTAGTTCGAAGGTGTTCTTATTTCATTCTTTTCCCAGGGGGTCTGTGTTTGGGTTAGGGGTCTCTATGTTTGAAGACACACTCATTAGCCGAGAGGATAGTCAGACAATTACTGGACATTTGGTCAGACTGGACAAATGGGATGCCAAATGGTGCGAGTTGCAGAGATGAACATCTTCACCAGATGACGGGTTGAACTGGCTTATGAAGCTGATCAAGTCCCAGAGGATGAGTCCAGCTTAAAGAAAAAGCACATGTTCACCAGACATTCATGCCAAGATAGTCCCAGCATGTCCCAGCTTAATGTAGACTGTTGATGAATTAAACAAAACACGTTTGAATTGTGAAACCTCTCCCCCTCTCCATATATGGGTTTTTATTCATCAAGAGTCATCAACAGGAGTCTTGATGTCCAATGCCCCCCCGGTTTTGAAAGAAAGCTGGTGCCCAACAAGTGGGACTTGACGGTCCCAAGACGGTGACGAACTTCGGGTTCCCCCGGTCCAGCGTCCCACGGTGTTCGGGACAGACGAAAAAGCATCTTCTCTCCGTTCTCTCCGAGGTGAGTTGTTCAATGGAGAGGATACGTTGCAGTTGGATGTTTGGCCAAGATCCTCCCGCTTCAAGGCGCGGTTCCCGCGCGGGATGGGCCGCGGTGTTCGGTCCATTTGCGGCGAGAGGTCCATTTGAAGATAGGACAAGATCGTCTTGGTTCACAGCGGCTGCATGATCTAGAGATACAAAAGGAAAAACCCATAGCGTCTTCAGGGCTTTTCCCTCTCTTTGCTGTGGTTCAAACCAAGAACACCTCCTGGACCGCCGGGTGCACACGTGAAACACCGGTCGCCATAGATGGGTATGGAACGCCATGAAACACCATGGAACAGTGATCTTGCCCAAGTCCCAAGTCATCCCAAGTTTCACAGCTTGGAAGAGCCGCTGAGTCGCTGGAACACCCTGCACCCGAGAAAGGAGGTGAAGCACCTGTGTTTCTAAGAGGTGCCCAGGTTCACCTCCTGGCTTTTTGGTGCAACAACTACGTGTTGGAGGCTTTTTTGGTAGGAGTTGCATTTTCATGGACCTCAAACCACGCATGAACCACTTGTTTTTCACCATCATGAGGCCATCACAGCATCGCCCACCCGATGCTGTGAGGCTATTTGCAGAAGCTGCAAACTCTCGAGCCTCTTTGAAAAGGTGGGTGGCTGGTTCCTCATGTCCTGCGCGGTCGGTGCCTCATGGGATGCGCAAAAAATGGCCCCTGGCATTGACCAGATTTCAAGTACCAGACATTGTCCCATAGAAGTCCAGTTCCCTTAGCTTACAGTTTTCAGGAACTGCCCAAGTCATCAGGTCTCCTAGGAAAAGACCATTCTCGTCATAGTCTTTGACTCCAAGAGTTCATGAATACTCCAAGAGTTCATGAATCCAGATGGAATTTCAGAAGTTCCTTTCTACTGCCATCCGTGCCGTGCCCAGTTGAAAGAAGTGCA